GACAAAAAATTTAGCAACGGCCATGATTCACCATGGCCAGAAAGGTCATAAAAAGGGGCAAGATTCATTAAACACCCATCTCGCTTAGCGACAGAAATGTTGGGCTCAAATGTTGCGGCCGTAAGTAGAGGACTTCCTGTATAAAGCAGTGTTCTGATGGACCTCAAGTCCTGTCCGGAATGTGGCTCCTTCTTATTGGTCTTTCACAGGGATGGCTAAATTTTTTGTCCTTAATGCAATGCGTGTTTGTGTGTTCCTGCACATCTGCCCCCTTGCGCATGTGCGTGGGGCCCCCTGCGCTCCCCCCGCCCCTCCACGTATGCGTGCTCCCCCTCCCGCGTTTTGGGCCTAGCAGGCCTCCCGGAAGCCTCCAGGGATCAAAAAACAGGATAACGGGCGGGAGCATGCCGCCACCTCACCCCGTGCTACCCGTCGCCCCCTGCGCATACACGCGCTTCTCCTGCATGCGCCCCACCCCACCTGCGGATGTGTAGCAGAGACCCCAAAATTACCTGGCCGGCAGTAGACGCGCATATGTGCGGTGGAGGTTACCTTGTGCCGATGGCTCGTGTCGCCGCAGAGAGGACTCCACGTGCCACCTGTGGCATAGATTCACCATCCCGGCTCTATAACATTGAAAATGTGAGGACTGAAATGGATTCAACTTACAGGCAGTCCCCGGCTTACGACAGTTCGCTTAGTGACCGCTTGAAGTTACGACGGCACTGAAAAAAAGGGACTGACGTGACCACTTTTCACACTGAACGACCATTTCAGCATCCCCAGGGTCACGTGATTTACATTCGGGTGTTTGACAACTGACTCACACTTGCGACGGTCGCGGTGTCCTGGGGTGGCGCGATCGCCTTTTGACAAGCAAAGTCAATGGGGGAACCTCATTCGCTTCACAACTGCTGAAAAACCGTGGCAAGAAGAGTCATAAAGCGGGGCAAGGCTCATGTAACAAATCTCTCACGCGGCAAGGTAAAATTTGGCCTCGGTTGCAGTCGTAAGTCGAGGACTAACGCCGGTAGTCGGTCCGTGATTAACTACGTCCTTCTGAAGTCAGAGGAAACAGTTTTCCAGGGAAAGATTGCAGAGGGAAGAGTTTTATCATCACCTTTTAATTCCTTGTGGGGTGGAGTCAACTGAATGAAGCTGAGTATTTACTGGCCCAATGCCTTTCCTGTTGCCAATGAGGAGTTTTGTTTAGCTGATCTATTCTCATTGTGCCCAGAGAGAGAGAAATATCTGCCTCTACCTAGGTTCGAATGCACAGCCCCCATATTGTGAGGTGAGAGAGCTCCACCCCTAGGCCCCCACACCGCTCAGAGGGACTCAAAATACTTCAGCATCTCCTCCGACTGCCCTCCGTCGTCCAAAATCGATCAGACAGCCATCAAAGGTGCCCTCTTAGTGGTGGCCGCGGTCAGAATGATGGGTGTTGTAGTCCGACATTTAGAGGACCTCAGGTGTGAGAGGGGTTTTTTGAGTTTAATCGGGGTGAGTGGTAGAGGGAAGGTGTTTATGGATCTGCACAAATTCCACAAAACCACAACCGAAAACAACCGATGAGATGATCGCTTACCCTGGCCAAAATATGTTTCGTACTCATATTCTTGGCACAGCTTGGATCGAAAGTTGAGATGGAGGCCTTAAAAAGCAAAATTATGGAGGGGACAGGAAGGTTTGCACATTCCCTTCTTCTCATTCCTTTCTTCTCCTTTTCCCTTCTCTTCCTTCCTTTCTTTTTTCCTCCCTTCTTCCCCTTTCTTTCCCTTTCCCTTCTTTCTTTTTTCCCTTTCCTCCCTCCTCCTCCTCCTTCCCCTTTCTCTTCCTTCCTTTCTTCCCTTTCTTCTTTCCCCTTCTTCCTTTCCTTTCCGCTCTCCATTTTCCTTTCCTTCCTTCTTTCCCTTTCTTTCTTTTCCTCCCTCTTCTCTTCCCTTCTTTCCTCTTCTTCCTTTCCCATTCTTTCCTTTTCCTCCCTTCCCTTTCTTCCCCTTCTCTTCCTTTTTCTTTCTTTCCTTCCTTTTCCTCCCTCCTCTTTCCTTCTTTCCCCTTCTTCCTTTCCTCCTCTTTCCCATTCTTTCCTTTTCCTCCCTTCCCTTTCTTCCCCTTCTATTCCTTTTTCTTTCTC